ACACACACATTGGACTATTAGTCATGAAAAAGAACAAGATCATGCTATTTGCAATGACATGGATGGAGCTAGAGAGTATAATGCTAAGTAAAATAAGTCCGAGAAAGACAAATACCATATGATTTCACTCATATGTCGAATTTAAGAAACTAGCAAAGGGGAAGAAAAAGAGACAAACCAAGAAACAGGCTCTTTACTGTAGAGAACAAACTGATGGTTACTAGAGGGGAGGTGGGTGAAATAGGTGATGCGGATTAAGGAGTGCACTTGTGATGAGTACTGGGTGATGTATGCAATTGTTGAATCACTATATCATATACCTGAGACTTAACATTGTATGTTAACTAACTGGAATTAAAATAAAAATTAAAAAAGTCAAGTTCCTGCTACTCTTAGATTCTTAAGGGAAAAGAAAGAGGAAGGGATAAAATCATTTGAGGGTACAGAAAAATATTTATATGCAAAAATGTTCAATAGCATTGGTTATAATAGCTCAAGTCAGAAATAATTTAAATGTCCACCACAAATCAGTTAAATAAATTATGGTGAATCTGTAAAGTGGCTTATATAATATAATCATATGTATTGATTTTGAATAATAATTTATAGGGAAGTATCCCTGATAGAATGTTTACTAATAAGCCAAAATATAAAATTAGTATTATCTTAATTATATAAAAATATTTGTATGCAAATGCATGGAGAAAAGTCTAGGGAATTATATTGACTTGTTAATGGGGATGTTTGGTTGCAGATAACTTTGAATTTTCTTTATATTTTTTCTTGCTCCCAAATCTGTACAATAAACATATGTAACATAATAAAGTAATGTTTTCCCATTTGTTTTTAAGCACCTATAACATGCAGGACTGAAGAGACCTGGTTTAAGAGCAGAAAAGACCAAAATTAGTTCTTATTTGGCTTATAATTAATATGGCTCTCCCCAAAGTGCAGTTTCTGTCTTTATTACCAAAAATAACAATCGCAAATGAAGAAGGCACTAGTTCATTGAGTTGTTCAGGTGAACAGCCATCTCACACCATATGTCATATAAGGAGTTGGCCATTTCTTTTATTAGAAAAAACATAATGGTGTGATATTTAAAGTAGTGTCAAGTAGAAGAGATTCTAGGTTTTAATCTATATTCTTTTAAAGAACATATCTAGATCGAGCTTTATTGGGTGAAAGATAGAGGGAAACAAATTTTAGTTGATGAGGGCATTTCTAATTGTTACATACCCTCCCTCTCTCACAAGTACCTGACTTCAGTAGAAGTAAAGTATTCCAGCACTAAAAATATTACTGTTAAAACAGGATTTTCACACTTTCCTACAGAGCCTTGGATTCCTATAAATAAATCTTAAGAGTTCTGTAAATATTTAGAAGGTACTTCAAAAACTTAGTACAAATAATTAAACTTAATTTAAAAATAACATATTCACCCAAATATTTCAAATATCAAATTTTAACACAATGCAAATTAATAACATGTTTTGGATATGCTGCTTGATAGACTTGTTTTGGTGCAGACCTGAATCAAATTTTCACCTGCTTGCTTAGGTTTTCTGAGTTCAAGGTCAATTATTTACCACTTACATCTGTGTGTCTCCGTGAATCAGGATGTTTCTTAATACTCTGCAACCAAACAAAATACAGAAATAAGTTGGATACAGAGACTTATACAAGGCTATAATCATCAGTACCCTCTGATTTAAAATTTTTATATTTGTCAAAACAGATTCATTGTTTTCAGTGATTGATTTATTCAAACACAGTACTACTTTAATTTGTTTTATCTATGGGAATATTGCCAGAAATTGTTTGAAAAAGTCTGATATGGAGGATGGTACCTATAGAACATATTTTGAATCTGCCTTCTTCTCTTTATTTCTCTTGCCTTAGTCCAAGCCACCATCACCTGTCATTTATACAACTTCAAAAACTTTGTTTGGTCTCATAATTCCCACTTTAGCTCCTGTAATCCATTCTCTACTAAGCATCTGGAATGATCTTAAAACATATAAATTAAGTAATATGTCCTTGCTTAGAACCTTCCATTATTCCCTTTCCTCTCTAACATCATTTCATAGCCTTCCATTATTTCTTCCTTCATGTTTTAGGTAAAGATCACCTCCTTAAAGTAGAGGATGCAAACTATGCTCCCTTCTATCACTCTGGGTTAGAAAATAAATATGATCTGACTTTTTATTCTTCTCCATGCGTGAGACCTTCAGAATTGGAGCAGGGAGTGGAGTATCGTTTGTCTAGCACAGTGTCCTGCAGCATAGTAAGACTTTAGTCAATATTTTTAAAGAGATAATTGCATATTTCTGTTTCAAAGCTAGGAGGAAAATGGGGTGGTATAGGCCTGTTAAAAGGGCAGAGGTGTCTACTCCACGTAATACTTAGCAAAAAGTAGTATATTTAGTAGGTTTTGGCCATTTATAAGATATTTTACAAAACTGATAAAACTAGGCTTAAAGAGTTTAAATGGCTTGACCCAAAATCATACTGCTATTAAATTTCAGTGCTAGACTCAATTCTATTAAATACTATAAGTCTACAATACTTAATTTGTAAGTAAAGAAAGAAAATACTATTAGTGCAGAAACTGTAGTCCCAGAGGGAGCCATTTTTTACCTTATAGAAGCTGTTAACCCTGAACCCTTACATAATGTAACTCCAGCTTTCTGGGAAAGGCGAGATAGTAAAGTTGGCTTCTCCTTAGTTGAGATAAGGGTGTGACCCTGCATTTTCTTGACAAATCTCTTGATGTGGTAAGAATAAAACTGCAAACAGGGTACATAGATTTTACTCTGCTCTTTCTCCTTAATTTGCTGATTCAGTTAAGGTTGTGTTCACCTTTAAATACCAGAAAGTTCTAACAATAACTTAAAGAAACAGAAGAAGGGCAGTTTTTTCACACAAGTCCAGATATGGCAGTCCAGAACTGGTTCAGCTACTTCCCAGTCCATAGTGGGCTGGCTTTTGCCTTCCTGCTTCTCACCACATGGATAAAGGTATAAAGGGCAAAGGGATATATATATATATATGCCTTCTTTGCTGCACGGCACTTCTAAGAAAGTTCTTAATCTGACTTCTTATGTTTCACAGGCCAGAGCTGATTGCATGGCCCTTTGCAGATGGAAGATGACTAGGGAGACAGTAAATTATATCTGTGTCTTGTGCTCCCTCATTTAATGCCTTTTAGTATGATAGTCCAAGTATCTAATATCATAATAATAATGTGTTGTGCCTTTTAGATTTACTTTGGTGCAGAAGCATACAGTGGAATTTAACCAAGTGGCAATGGCTAATTCAGATGGATCCGAAGCTATGCTGAACAGAGTGATGACAAAAGATAATATTGGTGTCGCTGTGGTATTAGAGGTCCACAAAGAACTATTTGGAACAGGTGAGTGCAGTTTAAAACGTTCTTACTAAAAATAAATACCATCCCATGCTTTCCCATCTTAAACAAGTGCACAGACTCTTTATTTATTGCACAGTTATTTTCTTGTCTTTAAGGAAAGTTAAGGGAGATGGGTGGGAAAATAACACTATTATGTAAACCATCATATATTTCTAGAGATATTACTTAATAGGTAATTTCTAAAAAGGAAAGTCTTTAATATTGCAATTAATTCCAAAAGGTTATTTGAAGTAGGAAATGCTTTAGTTAGGCTGAATTTGGAAATTATGATGAGTTGGTTCTATTTCGCCGTATTTTTAGCTTCTTGAGTGTGAAATCTTTTGTCTTTAAGGTTAAGCACTTGGCAAGTTTTCTCTAATTTCTTTGTTACATCTCAGTCATTGTCAGGGTAAAAGCAGGATCTTTTATCTACCTGGTACTTATCTTTTACATTTTAGATTATTTATAGCTTCCTTCAAAGTCAGAAACTCAATATGTACTTTGCATATCCAAACCTTTTTCCCCCTTTCTGCTGCCTGCCTTTGAGCATTTCATTGTTTACTTAACTATTATATTTTAGGCAAGAGCACAGAAAAGATGTAAGACCACATTAGGGCTTTATTTTTAAACTTTTTCATGTACTTACTGTAGAAGAAAAGATTTTTGCTTTGGGTATTGATTTGTATTATTCTGACCATGCTTGTCAGACCTCCTTTTCTCTCTGTTCTTCAGTTTATCCCTCATCATACAATCTTTGATACAGAATTAAAATTTTTTTCTTCTTTTTTTTAGCCTTTCCATTTTTACCTACTTATATGTCCTTTCCAGTCCCATTCTTTCAAAAGTTTTGGTACCTCTTTGTCTGGTAATGTGAAAATTGAGTTTCTTTGGAGTTTTATTCTCCTTTTACTTTTCAGAAGAGTAATTATAAATTATACCGTAGACACTTTTCACATTTTGAAATATGTCTCATAGTCCTATGAGAGGAATTTAATATTATAGAAGGTGTTCATGGCCCCTTTGTTTTTAATAGTTTTTAATTTTTAATATAGTGAACATTTAGTCTACAGCCAGAAGTGACACTATAAAACTTCCAGGAAAGAATGGAGCTTAGAGAATTTTTGCCACAAATTTTTATATTATGATCAAATTGCATTAAAAATGACTATTTCTATGTTTGTAAATCATGTATCTGGTAAGGGGTTACTCTCCAAAATATATAAATATCTCATAAAGCTTAGTAGCAAAACAAAAAAACAAAAAACAATCAGGTTAAAATATAGGCAGAGGGTCTGAATAGACATTTTTTCAAAGACAGAGATGGCCATCAGGCATATGAAAAGACATTCACCATCACTAATAATGAGAGAAATGGAAATCAAAACCACAATGAGATAGTTATAGTAGTTAGTGTGTCTATTATCAAAAGGACAAGAAATAACAGGTCTTGTTGAGGATGTGGAGAAAAGAGAACCCTTGTGCACCATTGGTGGGAATATAAACTGGTGCAACTACTATAGAAAACAGTATGGAGTTTCCACAAAAATTAAAAACAGAACTACCATATGATTCAGCAATTCCACTTCTGGATATTTATCCAAAGAAAATGAAAATACTAACTTGATAAGATATATGCACCTTCATGTGTATTGCAGCATTATTTACAATAGCCATGACATGGAAGCAACCTAAATGTCCATAAACAGATGAATGGATACAGAAAAGGTAGTATATATGCACAATGACATACTATTCAGCTATAAAAAGAATATCTGCCATTTGTAATGATGAGTTGACCTTGAGGGCATTATTTTATTTTATTTTATTTTTTTTTCAACGTTTTATTTATTTTTGGGACAGAGAGAGATACAGAGCATGAAGGTATAGAGAGAGGAGACAGAATCGAAATAGGCTCCAGGCTCTGAGCGCCCAGAGCCCCGACGCTGGGCTCAACTCACGGATCAGCGGATCGCGACTGGCTGGAAGTCGGACGCTTAACCGACTGCGCCACCCAGGCGCCCCTTGAGGGCATTATTTTAAATGGAATAAGTCAGAGAAAGAAATATTGTACAATCTCACTTATCTATGGAATTTAAAGAACAAAACAAATGAGCAGAGAAAACAAAACCAAAATGTCAATTGTACCTCAATTTTTTTTTTAATTTTTAATGTTAATTCACTTTTGAGAGAGAGAGAGAGCACAAGCAGGGGAGAGGCATAGAGAGAGAGAGAGAGGGAGGGAAGGAGACACAGAATGTGAAGCAGGCTCCAGGCTCTGAGCTGTCAGCACAGAGCCTGATGTGGGGATGCAACTCACGAACCGCCCCCCCAGATCATGACCTGAGCCAACTGACTGAGCCACCCAGGGTGCCCTCAAATTTTAAAAAATGACTACTTCTGCCACATATAACAGACACTTCAGTTACTTATTACTCAGCATTGAAGATAATTATACCTTGGTGTAAGGTGAAAGGAAACTATCAAAATAGTAGACTAGAAAGTTAGGTCTTTTTCTGCAGAGTTTATATTTTCAATAGAAAAATTTAAGAGACATTTGTATAGAATTTTTTTTCGTAGTTTCAAGTTTTTATTTAAATTCCAGTTAGTTAGCATACAGTGTAATGTTAGTTTCAGGTATAGAATTAAATGGTTCAGCACTTACATATAACACCTACTTCTCATCACAATAATCGCCCTCCTTAATACCCATCACCCATTTACCCATCCCCCCATCTCCCTTCTAGCGATCCTCAGGTTGTTCTCTTTATTTAAGAGTCTTTTTTATGGTTTGCCCCCCCGACCCCCGCCTGTATTCATCTCTTTGGTTTCTTAAATTTGGTGTTTGTCTTTCTCTGATTGACTTATTTCACTTAGCATAATACTCTCTAGTTCCATCCATGTCATTTCAGATGGCAAGATTTCATTCTTTTTTGATGGCTGAGTAGTGCAACTGCTGTATCATAGGGTAGTAATATAGAAATTTTAATAGAAAAATTAATTTTGCATGTTGACTAATATTACATTAGTATAAAAATATATAAAGTGAAAAGTTCCATATCTCATTCATACTCTCTTGTTAATTTCTTTACTCATTACTACATAGAGACTGTATGTGTATAGTTATATTTAAATGTATCATGTCACACAAATTGAGCTTTGTGTTTTAAATATTTTATGGATGTCTTTATTAACTGTTGTTTATGAATGTTAACTGAGTTTAATTTTCACAATTTGTAATGTATTATCTATCTTGTCTCCCATTTCAAAAGCTAATGCTTTGACAACATTTAAAAAATTTTAGGTGGCGGGGAAGAACCTTAAAGTTTTCTGGTTGAATATCTCACTTTCCAAATGAACCTGAGTACCAAAAAAGTTATGTGACTGGCCCAACACCAAAGTAAATAGTAAAAAAAAAAAACCCAAGTCAAATACCCAAGTGTCCAGATTTTGAAAGCACATTACTCTCTAAGTCTCCTTTTTAAAATTTATTTGGGTGTGTGATATGAATTTGTTTTGGTAGGAAACTTCCTTCCTTACGTAATTTGTATGATATATGGTGTTACTGCCTTTTATTATGACCTATCACTGATGTGCTCAGGGAATGCATGGTGAAGGAGTACTGGACAGTGGGAAGAATTTAAATTTAAGGTTTAGGTCATTCAAATAACTGAAAAGCTGCCTCATTAGGTAATTGTGATCTTTAAATGACAGAGATATTTAAAGTACTTCTTTACAGCAAGAACTCATCAAATGAAGTACTAGAATCAAATATTGATTATATCATGATACAATTCTTAACTTGGGCATATAGAGCAGAAGTTGGCAAACTTTTTCTGTAAAGGGCCAGATAATTAATATTTGGACTACATGTAGTCTCTGTCACAGTCTTTCCAAGAAATTTTTGTAGAAATTTTTAAAAATGTAAAACCAGGCTTAGCTCATACAGGCTGTATAAAAACAGGTGGTGGGCCAGATTTAGCCCATGGCTGCAGTTTGTCTACCCTGATCTAGAGGAGTAATTCCTATGTAGGGATTGCCAGAATCTTAGCACATCAGCTTCTAAAAACTACATTTTGCGATAAAGGGGAAGATATACATTAATGGGGAAAAAAATAAGGAAGAGGCTATGGATTTGAGGGAGAAAACCTTAAGATGCTGCTCTTTTGATACATAAAACAATCTTCTCCTCCTTTTTCTAATGTTTAAATTTAGGTATGAAGCCTATTCATGCTGCAGACAAACAGCTGCTTATAGTGGCAAATGCCCACATGCATTGGGACCCAGAGTATTCTGATGTGAAACTTATCCAGACCATGATGTTTGTCTCAGAGGTTAAAAACATTCTGGAGAAAGCCTCTAGTAGGCCTGGCAGCCCAACTGCAGATCCCAATTCCATCCCGCTGGTGCTATGTGCAGATCTTAACTCATTGCCAGATTCAGGTATTTATAACATCATTTCCTCATTGCTTTCAGTTTTACTCTAACTTCTCTTTGGAGGACCAGCCACCTCCCAACTTTTGAGTGGAGAATTTCTCTGCTAAATTAGAGAGTGTATTAATAAGACTCCTGGGAAGATAGGGCATGGGGTTAATTGAGAGTTTAGTAAAGAAGCTATTTCTAAAGATGTGTACAGGGTTAAGGGACACAAAACCATGGGCGATGCAGTACTCTACCACTTGGGGAATTTGAGGCCCTTTACCACACCTTCACCTAAAGGTTTGGAAAGTGGTGGGAACTGCTGTCACAACTTGGAAAATGTAGTTCTAAGGAGAGGGTTATGTAATAGGAGCAATGGCTTTAAGTTTTAACTGATGCTGTCAATCTCTGGCATCAACAGAAAATGAGTCAGGGGGAAATATATATCCCTACCTCACTCTACTCTCCTGCCAGTGCTGCCCATTGACCAAATGCAGCTAAGCTAGAGTTGGAGGGGGTTTGTAGTTGTTGCAAGTAAAAATCAGCCTCCTGGAGCATAGAGTGTAATGGGGAAGAGGCAACCAGGAAATATTCAGCAGCAGGAGCTATCTAAGTTTAGTAAGGTTGGCCACATTTTAGTGAATTCATTAAGTGATATATGAATGCTGATAATAGGTACAGAAGACTGACCAACATTCTCCTTGGATTTGACATTACTTCTTGAGCTCCACTAAACTACTTTATGTCCTAACTAATTTTAGATCTTTGCAAAAAACTAGTTCTGCATTTTAGATATTCAAGTTCAAATGTAAAATGTTCAGTTATTACTATTTTGCTATTACTGAAGCATATTCTAAATTTTATACATTTTCAGTAAGCTATTTTAAATTGTTTAGATAATCCCTCAACAATAAATGTGAAAAAACCCAAATGCTTGCAATTGGAAATTCATAAAAGTCACAAATCTAGAAAATATCTACTTTTTTCCTTAGTAAATAAATGCTGAAATCATCCTCTTACAAATGTTTGTCTTTAGCCCCTAACCCAATTGACACCTTAACCATGCCTTCTTTGCTAAGTTCTGTTTTTTTGAGTTGAAATGCTCTCAAGTATAAGTTTCTCCCATCTCAGTTAAGCCAGTGAGCTGTCATTTGAAAGCACAGCACGATGAGCTGATTCTGGAGCCAGACTGTTAGAGTTGGATTCGGTTCTACCACTTAGAAGTGCAATCTATGACTAAGTTCTTTATTTTTAAATAAGAGGGGAATAATTTTATCCACTGCATAAAGCTGCTTGTGAGGTTTAAGTGTATAAAGCAGTGCCTGGCGTGTAATAAATGCTAGATAAATGATCACTCCTTTTCACCTCTTCACAGTACTGATACTGTGTTTCATCATTTATTCATTATATGTTGTTATCATTCCTGATCACAAATAGAGAGAGATGGCTGACCGTGTTCACTGATCATCATCATCATTAGGGTTGTGATATATTTTTCATTTTACTTATTAAATGGAAGCAATGTATTTTTGAATGCTTCTACTCTGTTTAGCTTTTTAGACACATCTAATATTTTTGACCAAGTAGTGTATCTGGAGTATATGATGTTCTTTATAGTATCAGACTGAAAGAACTCCCTGTAGCTCAAAATAAAGAATGTTTCATAGCTGAAACTATAAATATTGAAATGTTGAAGATGCAAGATCTATTTTTGTTATAAATGATTTTTTATTATGTATGCTATATTTTACATACTCCGAAAGTTGATTGCATGGAACAGTTAAATACTAAAGAAGTAGTGGTTTAGGATAATATTCTAAAAGCCTTCAGAGTCAAAACCTTCTTAGTGAATGCCACCTTGGGCCCAGGAATCATCTTTAGCTTGAAGTACCATTAAGAAAACTGAAGATATTTCTGGGTGACCCTGATGCTTTGCTCCGAAGTAGGCAAATACCCTTCAGTTTGATTTAACCATAAGAAATTGTTGGTGTTTGTTTATTTTATTGTTTCTTGTTTTGTTTTGTTTTGAACTGTCACAAAAAGGCAGTTGCATATGGGTCAACCTAATAAAACCACTCTGAACCTGGTACATCCACCTGACCACAAAATTTTGGTCATAAAGTCTTACATAACATCTAAATGCTAAATGATAGTATTTCTTCCTTCTTTATTCTGCTAGGTGTCGTGGAATATTTAAGCAATGGAGGAGTAGCTGACAACCATAAAGACTTCAAGGAACTAAGGTACAATGAGTGTCTTATGAACTTCAGCTGCAATGGAAAGAATGGAAGCTCAGAAGGGAGAATCACACATGGCTTCCAACTGAAGAGCGCCTATGAAAATAACTTGATGCCTTACACCAATTACACCTTTGATTTCAAAGTGAGTGACTGCCTCTGAGCTGGTATAGAAATTATTTCAAATACAAACATAGGGCAAGGAAGGTCTATATTATTATATGCCTAATTGTATAATATTCAGGAGTTTTTATATTCTCTGTTTTGGCTAACTTTGTCCCTAAATGTAAGGAGGTTTGTTATTTTTCTTTTTTGTTATTGCTGACTTGAGAATTTTTTGAACCCTGATTTTTTCAAATTTCAAGTAATATTGATAAATAGCAAAAACTTCCAAAATGCCCACTTTGTGCCAGGCACCGTTAAAAGCACTTTGTTTAAAAAAAATTTTTTTTATGTTTGTTTGAGAGCAGGGGAGGGGCAGAGAGAGACGGAGACACAGAATCCGAAGCAGGCTCCAGGCTCTGAGCTGTCCGCACAGAGCTGGATATGCTTGAACTCATGGACCATGAGGTCATGACCTCTGAGCTGAAGTCAGATGCTTAACCGACTGAGCCACTCAGGCGCCCCAAAGCACATTATATTTTTTAATATCGTTAATCTTCACCTGTCTATACCATCCTTAAATTTCAGTAAGAATCTAAATATTAAGCATCCTGATTAGTTAAGTTCATCTTGAATGAATATATAATATTCTCTTAAAAATTTCTTAGTACATTCCTTCGATGTCTTGGTTACCTTTAAATTTTCCAAGTTTCTTTGGAAGATGAGGTTACAGAGGGTTGTACTTAGGGTCTGATATATATCCATGTAGTTAAACTATTACATTCCCAGGCAGGAGAACAAAAGAAAGATACCTTTGCAGAATAAGAAAAAAAAATTTAGAGGGCCCATTGTACAAGACAAATTGTTCTTTAGAAAACGATTGATTGTAGTGGTTTTCTGTAATCAGGTTTACTTTCCCTTTGCCAATTTATCTGATCACTGCCTGTAGCTGTTTTATTGTTTGACTTTCTGGCATTTCAGGCCATCTATACCAAAATCTTATACTATCGTGAAAAAAATGCAGATTTTAGAAAGTCGTTTGGTATTAGAAGCCTAGAGGGAATATAATAAAAATACCAAAGGAAATTTTCAAAATGGGCTCTTCACACCTCCAATAACTTTTTTTTATATTTTCAGTGCTTGTTAGCCCCTTTCTAAGGAACAAATAGTAGGAAGAAGAAAGGAAGTTTGTGTGCTGATGGTATTAGTCTGCTTTTGTAATCATGAAGTGGAGACAAAAATTGCTTAGAAGAAAGTGAATCTAATTTTAGTATTTTTATGTTAGAGCAGATAATACTATCTCTAGCGATAGTTGCTTTTGTTCAAATCACTCATATGCAGTAATGTGCTGGTAGATATTTAATAACCAGATTTCTGTAAATTAGAAGCCCTAACTTGTGGTGTTTGTTGATTTCTGTGGTGTAAGTATTCCCACTATGGTAGATTTCAAGCTCCCAAATAATACCATTGAATTCAGAGTTGAGATGAAGCACTAAGAAAGCGGGAACTAGCCTACTATAGCACACCGCTGGTCTTCCATAAGCTTAAAGGAAACCTCTAGATTTAATGATACACAGTTTGTTATAAGTTAATTGTCATCTTTTTGACTGTATTGATATATGATACATCTCTGCCAGCACAAGCCAGAAAACCTAAATTAAAGTTCCCTAAAATAAGTGTTTAATAATTCCACAGCTTGTTTTGGCAAGTGTGTGGTTAAAAAGACCAAATCATTTCTAAGTCATCTAGGCTTTGATAGAAGTTATTTTTTCCTTGTCCACAAAGTGAAAATTTGGGTTATTAAACTAAGCCATCTTTCTTAATCTTCTGAATTGTTTTAAAATCCTTTGTTGATATTTCTTCAAAAGATTTTACGTTTTTAATAATTGTATCAAAAATCTTACTGGGGCGCCTGGGTGGCTAATGTCATGAGCCTGAATTCGGCTCAGGTTCAGATCTCGGTCCCGGAGTTTCGTTTCCTGCCATGGGCTCTTGTGCTGACCGTGCCAGAGCCTGAAGCCTGTTTCAGATTGTGTCTCCCCTCTCTCTGACTCTCCCTCCGCTTCATGCTCATTCTCTCTGTCTCAAAAATAAATAAACGTTAAAAAAAAAATTAAAAAAAAAAAATCTTATTGAACCATTTACACTGTCCAAAGACGTACAGGTAAAGAACCAAAGGTACATTACTCAGAGTGTTTGATGTTTGAATATGTAGGATAGGATGAGATGGAAGGACAGTTATAAATCCCTGAGAGACAGGCATGTATGGGAAGATAAGTATTCTGGCTGGTTGGCTAGATCAATGGGTGGGATGAGGGGGTGGGATAGGATGACCAGAGAACAAACTGTAAGGGCATTCCTAACAGAGAATGAAGCTTTTATCCAAGTAACAATGAATGTTTCAATTTTATACAAAGCATTTTATACCATCCCAGTATTAAAGGCAGTCAGTAAAAATAGGTAATATCAAATATAAAAATGTTATGTAATTAGTATTACATACAGATCCAAATACAGTATTCTGTCATCCCATCAGTGGATTGTTGTTATTATCATTATTTTTTACTTGGCTTAGCATTTGTTTACTTTCTTGGTCCTTGGTGAAGTTAGAAATGTAGAAAAGTGATATTTAGAACTCAGATTCATTTAATCTAGAACTTACTTGGAACATACCAAAGGGTGGGTAAGCAGTTAGGAAAATTACTTGTAGAACAGGTGTCTTAGTGATAGCTAACAATACTCACCACAGACTGTGTGACTTAGACTGGACGTGTAAGGTCAGGGTACTGGCATGGTTGGGTTCAGATGAGGGCCCTCTTCCAGGCTGCAGACAGCTGTTTTCTTATATCCTCACGTGACAGAGAGGCTGAAAGAGCTCTCTCTGGGGTCTCTTTTTATAGAGCAACTAATCCTATTCATGAGAGTACCACCTTCATGACCTAATTACCTCCCTGAAGTTTGTACCTCTTACTGCCATCACATTAGGAGTTAGGATTTTTGTGAATTTGGGGGGAACAGAAACATTCAGACCATAACACCAGATTCATTGAATTAACAGCTTAATTCAGACTTTCTACTGCTGCTGCTCTTTCCCCATCAATCTAAGGGTGTGCCTGAACCAGTTAATGAAAAGAGGAAGGACAATTTTCATATTTTGTCAAGTAGTAAGTCTGAAGTCTTTCTCTGTTACATTATGAAATTTATAATATACGATTTTCTCTTTTATAAGACAATACTTAGCATAATGCTAGCTCGTAAATTATTTTCATCATTTTTACTTTTTTTCCAAATATAGTTTTATAGACTTACTATAGTTTTTCCTAATACAGACTGTTTTCCCACATTGTAGCCTTTTTTAAAAACAAGTTTGAGTCAAAAAAAGATTAAAAATCATTAGTTTAGTAACCTACTTTGTAGATACAACAATGTGTAAATGTGCATACATATGTACAAATATTTGGGTGAGTTTGTAGATATGATCTTGCTAATAAGGGTTTTGATAAGAGCTTTTCCTCTGGATGTTTCAAACTAAGAAAATAGGTACAAGTGATACCTCCAATTAAATGCATCTGACTTTCTGGAGTGTTTAACATCTTTCTTGGGGCCTATGTTTGCAAAGGATTCTGCAAGTCTAGCAGCTGATGTGCATAATGACACTCTAATAAAGTGATGTGGGAGGTTTATGGAACATAAGTGATAGAATATTTCATTTGTGTTTTGTTTAGTTTATAGTTGAAGGAAAGGATGGTCTCATAAATGCTAGTAAATCTACCCTGACCCTTGTTAACCTTTTTCCTAAAATGCCACAGCAAAATTAGGCATTAGCCAAAATGAAAGGATAATACCTTGTACTCACATAATTTCTTAACTATTCGACTTGGAGTGTTAATGGCAGAAAATCCTTGGATTCAAGTAGGTACCTTAATTTGTGACAAGGTTAAGGTTTGTAAATGTTCAGCAAAGCCCTCTTCGTCAAAAGAACTATCTCCTTAATTTGGTCATGGTCATGTCAAAATCAACCTGAGGTAATTATTTCCAAATTGCATAATAAATTTTTTTCACCAAAAGTTTTTTCTTTCTTTCTTCTTTTTTTTTCTTAAGTAGCCCATTTCACTGTGATAACCATTTAAAATATTGCTGGAACTCATTATGTATAGCATTTGTAAGTAGATACTTCCAGATCTGGAAATATTTCTTCATACTTGGGCTCAGGCTCTCTTGATGTGGATAGGAAGAAATTTGACTTTACTGTCTTGTCTCCACAGCCTGGGGCAATAAAAAGCACTTCAGTTTTAAAGCTTAATGATCAGACAAACCAAATAAATCATCTAGTTCTCAGAGACAAAACTGATATAAATATATAGGGCCCTGCTGAATATTTTTTGCTAAGGAATCCAAAATTTACAGTATATTTATAGTTGTGAAAATGAGTATTCTAAAGAACACATTAGAAACGTTACCTGTAGGTAGTATTTTATAAGTATGTAGCATATCTGGGAAAGCTGAACTAGAACTGGCAAATCTGAAAACATGCTGTACCATGGCTTTGTGTGTTTGGATATCTTGATGTGTAGATAATGGAAAATAATGCCAATTAACATTAAAAGAATTAATTTGAGTCCTACCTTTTCATTATGCATTTATACTAAAACAGCTTATTGTAAATGATTTAGTGTAGTTCCCATAATGTTTATACTGATGGATTTAATTTCACTAACCTAAGCAAGACATTTTTAAAGATGCCTAGACATAATTTGGTGTGTTTAGCTTCTCAGTTTGCTTACCACTTACGCACAAATGCAAGGCTTTATGACTCCAGTAGGGCCCTGTATTTCCCTATTTAGCCGTCTTTATTTCATGTCCTACCCACTGAAGATTTGAGCCTTACATGACCCCATTGTCAAGACAACAGGTACTACAAGTACAAGTTACTCAGGTATTTGGCTTTTACAAATTATGGATTGTTTTTTATATATCTTGAGTTACTCTTTTTTTTCTAAGCATATTTTTTTCTTTTTTCTCAATCCCCAATCTCTTTCCAGGGCGTGATTGACTACATTTTCTATTCCAAGACTCATATGAACGTGCTTGGTGTCCTGGGGCCTTTAGATCCTCAATGGCTGGTTGAGAACAACATCACTGGGTGTCCACACCCTCACATCCCTTCAGACCACTTCTCACTGTTAACACAACTTGAACTCCACCCTCCACTTCTGCCTCTTGTCAATGGTGTTCACTTGCCTAATCGGAGGTAGTGGAGTACTGCCCCGCAAAGACGGGGGGATCTGTTGCTATGGACCTGTACAGTTGTAAATCAAAGTATGTAGGAGTGAAGTATGGCCATCCTTAAGCTGCTTCTTCAGGTTCCTTTCATTATGTGTTTGCTCTAAGATTTTGTACATTTTTGTGCATATTGGTATCATTTGGCACTAGGGCTGGAACCAAAGTATTACTTCCAAATTTTTAATTTAACATGTTTTTAAATTGGACCTTTTCATATTATCTTAGAGTCAGCATTTGTAATTAATAAATCACCAATTCAAGGCCCAACAAGTGTATTTGTTTTTCCAAAACAAATACTTTCTTTTGAATGGTTTCAAATCAACCATTTTTGTAAAAGGCAATTAAAAAGAACTATATAAATACAACATTTTAAACTGAATGATGGCATGCCTTGCAGGAAAAATTTCTTGGATTTCTGTTTTCCATTATAACAAACTGGTTTTTGACTCCCCAAGTCTTTTGCACATTAACAAAGCACTTAAATTTGCTAGATCTGTACATAAACGATGATATAGCCTTTAACCATAATAAGAAAAATTGAGAAATTAAAGGTGGTTGCACAATATGCTTTCAAAATCAAGCATTTAACAGTACATGACAGTTGGGCAAGTGCTGGTTATTTTTTTTGTTTTGTTTTGAAGACTCACTCTGTATTTTGTTCCTCTATTAGTTGTAACCTCATTAGAAGTATTAATTTTAAGCCTTTCTCTCCAGTTTATTTATTGGGGAACAGTGGGTAATTTCTACTGCCACACATCTTGAAAATAGAATTTTTTTACATTTAGGATGCCCACAAAATTAGTGTCCAGTATTTTTAATTATTCCCATCCACCTTTTTCTGCCTGGTTGTGCTAAAGAAACAGATATTATATGATCTGTACGATTTTTGCGGTTATAGTCAAATGTTAAAAAACAAACAAAAAAAACCAGAACAACTGCTGAATGAAAAGACCCTGATCAAAGTTTTAAAAGGGAAAAGTGATACAAATATTACATGTGTTTCCCAAAGTAGGGCAAGTGTCTGCTGGTTTTGGCTTTTTGAGGTGGAAAAGATTTTGGAGGGAGAGAGAACAGGGAGTGGTTGAAAACCTCAGATCATATTTCCTGACTCTAGTTGCCAAATGGCCATTATATGCTTTTAATCTTTGTTTCTGTTGTCTGTCAGGGTTGAATTAAGAAGCTACTGGTTTATTCCCAACTGTTGATGCTCTTTAGAAACTTTGGAATCCTTTTTTTGCCCAGGAGGGGCCAGTTGAAAATCTGTGACTCAAGAGGCAGTGAACGTAATAACCGTTTTCTGGGGGGAAAAAATTGGTTGGCTACTTGATGTTAATTATGGCACAGTAACAGGAAAAGGTTGTGTCTGTGTTTTTAAGTTTTTCTTTATTCTGCTTTTTTGCTGCTATAAGAGTTTTCTGAAATTTATATTTTAAACTTTTCATGCACTTTACTGTTTCTAGTCTCAAAATGTGATATTTTTAATAAACAAGAAATTTTCCATTATGTGAATGAAATTTTAAAAGAAAATAGCCTATATTTGTGTCTCACTAATATATAAAGTACAGGTCAAATTTAAATTATTTAATTAGTTTTAAATATATACAATTTGTCTCCTCTTTCAAACCTGACATCGTAGGCTGTTTTATTAGTCTTAAATGATGCATTTCCTTTGGTCATTTAATTTCTTCCATAGTAAATTAATCAGGCTATATAATATTTCCCCTGGAGGGTAATTTTAGTGGGACGAGGGTGGTGGGATGATGTAATGTCGTATATGGGATCGCATCAGAAGGGTTCTGTAAAGCCTAAACTCCCTTTTAAAAGTGCCTAGTGATAGAGGCGTTGTTTGTCATCTTTTATAATTGGAATGTAATTGTAGTTGAGTGAAGTTTGTTGTAAATAAAATATTCTTTTAAAAATGGTAAAGTACCAGAATAAACAAACAGAAACAAAGAAACAACCCTTAAGGTGACAGATTTTCCTCAATGTGCAGGTATCCCTTCTTATATACCTCAAACATTCAACATCTAGCCATGCAAATTGATTACCTGAACCATAGTACTGGAAAGTAGAATAGCATGAAAAACTTAATTTTGTGGACATTACCTTTTTTTGTAATCAGCTACTGTATGTTTTATTTTAAATCTTTTGTTTTGGGTGGATTTTCTGCTCTGGAGGTATATGCACTAACAAAACATTTTCCTCCTTTCATATACGCATGTTAATTAGCAATGTGAGCAATATTTCCTACCATACTTCACTCCCGATATTTTTTGAGATGTTTGTATAAAATGGAATTTAAAGTTCACTTATGATTGTATATGAACCACAGAGGAGCCCATTTATTAATAAAAAAAAAAAACTTTTTTAATAGTTAAATGTAGAGGGAAAAAATAAAAAAAATTGGGAAACATTGTAAACAGCTTAAGTTTATTTTGTGTATGATCGAGGCACTCTGTTGCAGGAAGGTGTGTAATTGGGTTCTCTCTGCTTCCAAATGCACTCTTTCAAACCATTCATTATCCTGTGTATTTTTAATGTGGTTTTAGTAAATGTTGGTAGTAGCTCTGTTGAAGTAGGTAATTGTGTTATGTTTTGGGTGGCACACACACTTGGGGCATGGTAACCCAAATTTCATGTGCACGGTTTCCCTTTAGCCCACTGCCCAGATTTCACACACTTTCACCCTTTGTTCCCTTTGTAAAAGGAGTGGTATCTGTTTTGAGCTGCCAATTCAGATGATCAGAAATGCTGCTCTCCTCAGTATTGTCTTGTTAAAACGCATGCCATTTGGAACTTTGGCAGTGAGAAGCCAAAAGGAAGAGGTGAATGACATAGGGTATATATTCAATGAAAGTAAAATATTTATGCTTATATATTTTCTAGTTCTCAGAATAAGTTTAATAAGCTTTATGCCATGGGGCTGCTGCATATTTTATGTGAAGTTAAGAGAAAATTTGGGCATTTTTAGGTTGTGATAATGTGTTGTGTTTTTTTTTTTTAACTGTTAAATATGATTTCTGATCTTTGTGTAAGAACTGGAGTGTTCTTTAAATTTATTGAAACAGTGTTTGAGGAAGGGAAAACTGCACTGTTTGCTATTACAACAGTCCTACAAGTGCATGTCAAGTCACCCACTCTCTCAGGCATCAGTATCCGCCTCATAGCTTTACACATTTCGATGGGGAATATTGCAGCATCCTCAGGACTGACATCTGAGAAAGGCTCAAATCCACTTACTGCTCCTTGCTTGTTGACTTTGTTTTAAAATATTGTGCCTGGTGTCAACTTTTAAGCAACAGCACTGCCTAAAAGCAAGCAGAGAACAGAATCCCAGCACCATTCTATAGGCAACTTTTTAGAATTCAGATATAGTAAATCTGTTCGAGATTTATGATGTTTTATGTAAAAAAAATTTTGTACAACGTAGCTGAATATTTTTGTTTCATTTCTTTGATGTAAGGCGTGTGAACGTTCGTTTGAATATCACATGTTAAAGTCAGGTAATGGCACAATGGGTTCTGAGACCAGCTTCCCCCCCCTTCCTCCCATTTGCCTTGTTCCAAGCTCTTTCTTTTCAAATTACTTTTCAATATTCATAGGCAGATATTTAATTTTACTAATAAGCATCCTGTGTGAATGTATTAAAGAAGCCACTGTGTTTTAGTGTTATAGTTTGCAGAAGTATAAAGCTTCGTTCTTCTTTGTCCCTCTTATTTGGTATGTTACAGTTATGTATTGAATCACAGAGATGGGAGAAAGTTGAAAGATATCTAAGGCTCATATCACTTGATTCTACGGTGGGTTGTATTAGAATTGAGGATGTGGCACATTAAAACTGGAACATGGGCAAACATAACTATGTTCCATTTAAAAATTGTATCTTCTAATTAAGTGGGTGAAAAATTAAGTTTGCATTTGTATTCCCAAGAGTTTCTAAAAAATCACAAATGCCATCTATACTTTCAAATCAAATAGCAAGAAGTAGAATAGCACAAGACAAAATAGGTTAAATGTGTTCTTTGATGGAATCAGAGGCATATTGTTTTCATTCCTAATATAGGGCTAGATTTTCTAGCGAATTGGCTGTGTCCCAGTACTTACAGTACTTACTTGTTTCTAAGTCTTCTATTCTGAGAGATTTTAATAGCTTTGTAAAATGCACTGACTGATCAGTAGCTTTGGCCACAGAAAACATAATCAATTTCTGATACATTTGGCAGGCCATAGAATAATGGTTATATAGCAAGCAATGACTTTATGGCACGCTTTAAAAATAGCATTCAAATATACTTTTTGACAGAAATGTGAATTCTCACATTTATAAGGTATTCTCTTTTCTCCTACCTGCTCTCCCCTTTAAACAAAAATCAACTTTCTAATATGTAGATTTGTTTAATCTTTTCCTTCTGAATTGTATCATGTTTATAGAACTGTGAGAATTCTAGGTAAACAAATTAGGAAAATCAGAGTATTTTTCTAAGCCAGGAACTTCAAATAAAGTTTTCAATTTGTAGGCTGAGAGAACTTTTGTAGTTACGATTGCTTTGAGTGATTTTAATTTTTTTATGGCATCATGATCATCAATTTCAAATCCAAGTAAATTAGTACACCTTTAACCTGGCTTATTTACCAAAGTTGTAATCTGTTTAAGAACAGGATGCCAAAAGCATCTTTCATTTTACAGAACGATTTGGATATCTCTGTTGTATAAGCGTCATCTTAAAGTTTAAGGGTAAGAAGAAAAAAGGAAGCACTAACACTGCAGGGTGTTCTGAATACGAGCCACGAAAAGAAAAAAAGTTTTTTTTCAGGAAGGTGGTAAGGGAGAGCATGCATATTTCTTGTTTTAACCAAATACCTTCTTTATGTAAGGTTCTCTGTTGAATTACATAAGTCCTACGGCAAGAAATAGGGAGATACTAGGAAAAGCAAGCTTTGTTAACCTACTTAGTAATTTCTTTTGGCGTAGGTTTGTTTGGGTTATTCTTGGAACCAAAGGAAAACAGGCATGTTGAGGTTTTATTCGATGTATATTATGACATTGAAGTAATGGAATGTTTTTAAGTAAAATAGATTTTACTTTCAA